GCTGAGAGCGCGCACTGGGCGGGATCTGGACTCCACGCAGGGGGCCCCTGGTGGCCGCAGTGTGGTGGAGGCGTTTCCCCGAGGGCCCGGAGGCCCGATGCTCCTGCCCACGCCACGGCGCTCTAGGCGCCCCCACACCTGCGCGGACGTCACCGCCCGGCCCCGCGGGTACCACTGGGACTGCCCACTCCTCCTCTGGCGGCCCAGCCTCTTCGTTCCCCTGCTGGGTCCTTGGCCTCGGGAAGGGGAGGGGCGGGGCAGCCAGCCACCTGCCGGGTGAAGTAAGGGCCCCAACGTCCCCTCCCCCACCCCGCCCTACTGCCCCAAATCCTGCCCCCTCTGCAGTTTCCTGGTGGGAATGACTCAAGGGGAAGAGCCGTGTCTGCTGCGCCCACGTCATCCGTTTGTTGTTCATCAGCCCTAAGGCCTGCCAGCCCCGCGCCCTGTGGCTGCCCACCGGCAGAGAAGGGGGCCCCTGGGCGGGGAGCCTCAGTGAGGGTGAGGTCCTCTGGTCACACCCAGGGCTGAAGTCACTGGGGAGGAGACACTGGGTCCTCTCCTGGACCTCTGGGCCTGCAGCCTGGGGGAGCCCTGCCTCCCCGTGGGCTCAGTCCCGAGGGCCCATGGTTGCCCAATCTTGGCCTAGGTCCCCAGACTCACAGGTGAGTGGGCAGGAGGAGAGATGACCTGAGCCGGAAGACCACGGGCTCTAGTGACCGGATTCCTGGCCCCCAGGGCCTCCCCGCCAGCTGCACGTGTCCCAGGGCGGGTCAATGGCACCCCTGGGTCGGCAGGAGTAGATGGGTACAGGTCAAGGTACAGAGCAGCCTCCTTTCCCGCCAAGCCTGGGCATGCTCAGCGCCCACCGATCCCTGGACCCCGTGTGGTGTGTGTGAGGGGCGCTGGAGGGTCTCCAGCCCCAGAGGCTTGATCGGGGGCGGGGGCAGGGGCAGGGGAGAGGGAGGCAGGGAATCTGCTTCAGCTTGTCCTGGAAGGCCACCCTGCTCACAGGCCACATGGGACAGAAGGTAGGGAGCCGTGGCAGCCACAGGTCCCCATCCTTACCTGTCCTTCACCCCCACGCCCAGTCACCCTCTGGCCCGGGCTGGCGGAGTCCTTGACTTCACCCCACTTCCCCAAATGTTTTCGGTGCGAATACCCATTAATACCCATGGGCCGAGGCGTGGGGGTGGGGCGCTAGAGAATGTGGCTTTGTTTTCCTCGATGGAGTCAGGCTCTGGGCCCTTCTC